TGCATGAATGAATGAATGAATGAATGGATGCTTGATTGTTTGAATGAATGAATGAATGAATGAATGAATGAATGAATGAATGAATGAATGAATGGAATGAATGAATGAATGGAATGAATGAATGGAATGAATGAATGAATGAATGAATGAATGAATGAATGAATGGGTGAGTGAGTGAGTGAGTGAGTGAGTGAGTGAGTGAGTGAGTGAATGAATGAATGAATGAATGAATGAATGAATGGAATGAATGGAAGCAAAGGAATGAATGGAATGAAATAGAATGAATGACTGAATGAATGAATGAATGAATGAATGAATGAATGAAAAATGAAAGAAAGAACGAAGAAAGGAAGGGAAGAAGGAAGGAAAAAGGCAAGGAAGTAAGGAGGCATTCAATGAATGAATGAAATAAGTAATGAGCGAACGAATGAACGAAGGAACTAACGAACGAACGAAGGAACGAACGAACGCACGAATGACTGACTGCATGAATGAACGAATGAATGGGTGAATGGATGATGGATGGATGGATGGATGGATGGATGGATGGATGAAGGAACGAACGACCGACCGAGCGAGCGAACGAACGAATGAACCGAATCATTGAGTCAATGTTTAAGTAAATACACAAATGCACAAATATCAAGCAAACTTAAACAAGCAAACAACTCATCATATAAAGACATACATGAACAACCATGTAACTATCCAAGTTTTTTGCCAAAAACACTGTGTGTCTTTTGCTTTCTGTTTTTGTTTTTTAATGATCTTGTGATACTGGGGTATGCATTGCTTCGCACTTTAGGAAAAGCGTGTAAACATGGCGGGTCTCATTTCCGCGCTTCGTCGGCTGATGTTGGTCAGACACGGACAGGGCAAGCCTTGGCAGTAGATGCTTGAACTGGGTTGATACAGGCCGACAGAGCCTCGTGCGACAGAGTATACGTAAACTGGTTGGCAAGCTTCTCACGACAGCGGACTTGCCGGCGTGAATCTTCTTCCTTGGAATGTGCCTCTCCCTGCTAGCAGTGGGGTCCTCACGGCCGTTCGGATCTAAGGGTCTGGAAAGTCACTGCCGTGGAGAGAGAACTGTAAGCTGACATAGGTACCGAGAGCTTCAAGGTCTTGTAGATCGCGACTCGTGGTTTAAGTTTTGGCAGGCGTCCTGCCATGCCTGGACCGCCCGCAAAGCGGTTGGGTGCTGAGCTGCCGTATCAGACGTATCACGAGCTGGCCAATGGGCATGCCTCGGCGAGAAGCTCGCGACGTGCCTGTGATGCAACTTGAGGCGACGGAAGCAGCGGCAGAATGCGGGCCCCCCAGATGCACCTGCACGGGCCTTCCATTTCTGGATTCATGACCTGGTTTGCAAGGGTAGGCTCTCCTGTGAAATGCAGGACAGTAGGACAATGCATCGTAATTGGACGGTGTCTGCCCGTCGTGGTCAATGTTGCAACATGCAGGCTGGTCGACAAGTGCTCGCAAGAAAAGAGGTGCGCCCAGTGAAGGGACAGAAGAGTCGAAGCCAGTGCAGACAGGTTAGGTGCAGCGTTTGGAGCACAATCGAGAGCTGCGACTAGGGTTTAATCGGCCTCTCAACAGCAATGCGCGGGTTCGTGTTGCTCTCGCCATTAATAGATCATCAGCCGCATTAGCCAAGGTAATAAGTTCAAACACAGGCTTGTCAGAACAAGGGGCGACACAAGGGTTTTTCTACCGATACTCGCCCGGCGCTTCACTGTGATGCAATGAAAAACCAAGTGTTACCATGAATCGAAGCACCTTGGAGCACTCAGACGACAGCGTATGCTGAAACTGGTAAAGCTTTGATTCACGAAACCATTTGCAGCAGCATGTGCAACGGCCAGAGCAGTAGCCTGCGACCCGTGGCAGGATGGCAATGAACCCCTCATGGTGGCTGCGTTCTCGATTTTTGCAGTCACAGGTTGCTCTTTCCATTCAGTCAGGCCACTGTAAGAGAACTTGTGTTGTAGATTTCTCAACAGCAAGCTGCAGAGGTGCGTCAGGTCCTCAGTTTTGTACGCTTATGAGCGAACAATTCGATGCCGTTTTGCCTAAGGCTGTTAAGCAGGAGAATCCGGAGTTTGACAGGCCAGAAGCTTGGCGGCCTTTTTTCTTGTGGGCAAGACGTGCTGCGCCCTTCAGGATCAGTTCGTGTTTTTCCCATACGTTTGCAGGTCCTCTTCTGCCGAGGAAGCTGCAGAGGAGCGCCCGAGGGGATGCGGTAGCATTCGCACCTGCAGCGAATGGCTGCCGCAGGGGACAATTATGTTTTCCTCCAGAGTTTTTCGAACCACAAACCTCTCGTTTCGTGGTGACTTGGTGTCCCTTTCCTGCCTGTTTAAGCGCATCCGCGTCGCATCGAGCCAGGAGTCTGGGCAACCAGATCAGGAGGCCTGGTGGCTACTTCTGCCGCTAGCATATGAAGACCTCGCCAATTATGTCAAGACTTGTTTCCCTGTCAGATCTTCATTTCTGTCTGTTTAATGTGTGCCACGAGCAACACCGGATTCAAGACATTATGGGTTGTGTCACAATCTTGGATGCCTGGGTTGGGTTAGGCCATTGTCGTGCATTGTGAGCATGCCGGCACGAACAATGTAGCTCGACATTTACTGTGGACATTTGATGTGCGCAGCTTTTGTGCTTAAGATGACCGCCGTAGATTATTACTGAGGTAGCCCAGATCCACGATGCCGGCCCTGGTTCCTCCCTCAGGAGGACCAAGGGGCATGGCGGCGCCGATGGCCCTAGTTCACATCGAGGAGCGAAAGGAGCCGGCGACATATCAAGCGTAACACTCAAGGCCGCCACAATCGCCGTATCGGATGGCTACCTGGAACGGTGGTGGGATGAAAAAGATGGTGCTGGACCAGAGGTACTTCCTGCACGTCCCGCGATCGGCAGCTGTAGCGTTGGAGCATTCCGAGAAGTTCCCGGTGCGGCTGTCGGCTCGTCTTTTGCAAATGCCGATTGTAGCGTGGAGCGACCCGGCCCCACCCAGTTACCTCCTCACGATTCTCGCGCCCGCGTTCAAGACGAAGGTGGGATACGGCAGCTGCGGGAGCTGAAGACCCCCTGCCGTGCGCTGGATTTGGCCGGGCAGAAGGCGAGAAGGCGGGAAGAAGTGCAAGGAGAGCCGAGCCCACCAAAGCAGACCTCGTTTCGGTCAGCGCCGAGGCTGGCTTAGGAGCTCGTGGTGCAGTCCAGTGAAGTCCAGTGGGCTCACATGACGCACAAAGGCTCCTCACAAGCCGCTCCAGCGGACCAGCTTAGGACCTGCGACAAGGGAATGGGCCACGCCGGAGCAGTGGAACAAGGTGATGAAGACGGCTGCCAGCGGAATGGCGGTTCCGCTGGACGAGAGCCTCATCCCTCGTTATAACTCCAGAAACACCTCATCACCAATGGGGCCGGCGCAGGGCGCGAGGTCTCGGTGCAGAGGTTCATCAACAATTTGATAACCATCAAGAACTACCTCGAGGCGCTTCCTGGAGACCAAAAGTTCCCGATGGGTAGCTCAGGGCTTGCGCCAATCGGTACCATATATGCCCATCGAAAACCAGCGAGGGGACAGAGCGCCAATGCTGTGCGGTGCGGTCATCAGAGCGGGGCGACGCCTCGCGCTCGGGCTCGCCCAGCTGGCGAAGGTCAATGCCGTGCATAGAAGCGCGCAGTCGCATGCAGTGACGCCACCAAAATTTGAATGTAAACAAAAGGTAGCGATATCTGAAAATATCAAACTTGCGCGGCCGGCGCGGTCCGGGAATTTGCAAGGCGGTGCGAGCCTCCACTGCGAGGCGTTGTGCATAAAGCCAGGCTGTCAGGATTCGGCGCAAGAAAAATAGCTGTGCAGTGCCCTCCAAAAAAGCCAAAGAACGCCCATTGCTGGCGTGGGATCAGATGCTACGCGGTGCCAAACCGTAGTATTCCCGTAAGGAATTAGCAATAACGACGTTCCTATCTCTCTCGGAAAAAGACCAGTATCGGTCCGTTTTGCTGTGCATTGCCGTGGAGATGCATGTGAGTGCTTTGCGGCACGGCCAATCAAGGCAACGCAAAACGAGAGAGCCAGTGCGTGGCGAATCAAAAACCTTGCTAAGCGTGGCAGGAGGCACGGTGCCTGTTGCAGGGTCAATGACATAGACTGTGCAAAGACTCGGCCCGCGACAGTAGATCTTGAGAAGCCACTCAACCAGTTGTGCATGGCTAAGCGAAGTGCAGGGCGATGCAGCAGGATTTGCCGGTGCTGAGGCCGATGCCGGCGCAGTGCCAGCTTCGGATGGCTCCAGGCGGCGCTTTCTGTTGCCAAGGCGGTTAGACATGGTAACAACGCAAGAATGGCCAAAGGAACAAAAGCTGTGCAGCGCCAATGAAACATGCAAGCGGTGCGATCAGTCAAGCTCATGCAAATAGTTGCAAGGCAAATCTGTGCATTCGGGTGCACCTTCAAGCTGCGCGATGCGTCGCTCCAAGCTGGCAATGTAAGCCAGCAGGCTCTGCACCTTAGCGCAGAGCATGTCAATGCGCTCGTGCAGAGTTGTGTCGGCTTCCAGCATGTCCTCTGCGATGCTGCGCAAAGAGGCATGCAGGAGAGCTTCAGTGACAGGGCTCGCGGCGCGGTCGGCCATGGCGAAAGATGGCTGCGGTGTAGTGCTGTGCAGAGCAATGCTTGCTGAAACAAAAAGTGCTGTAACCGCGGGTTACTGGTGTTAAGTGTTTTCTGCTAGCGCTTTGAACCAGTGCAGCGCGGAGCTAGGGTTCAAAGCAAGGCTTCCAAAGAAAACACTGTTGAACACCGAAAAAAACAAAGGTCACAACAAGCGAGAGGAGAACCGCCATCACCAGCCTTGCCAATCGATTGAGCCTCTTGCTGCTTGCACTTCCTTTCGCCACCACTTGATAAACCACCTGGGAATCCAGGATGTGAAGTAACTTGGTACGTTGCGTTCCATCCGCACGGCATCGGAACTTCGCTAGGGCGGCGAGTATCTCCAACGTGGAGACTCTGCGTTGGTTCTGCCAAGCTTGTTGCGCCACCGCCACACCTTGGTGCCACGGTAGTGGCCTCACCCGGCAACAATTTCAAGTGCCGAAGGGGCCAGCGACCAACTCCACGCTGGCCGCGGCACCACGCAGCTGACCCATCGGCTGCCAACGCTGGGTGCGGTCCGCGAGGATCTCAGTCCATGTCCGTTAAGGGCTTGAGGACCCGATGCGCTCAAGTGTTGGCCCGGCGCCCTTCAAAGGATGAGGCTAAGGCAGCAGGATACCCGTGAGGTGAGCTCCTGGCCTCATCGCAGCAGGGGTGTCGACCCACAAGGTCTTACCGAGGGGTCCAAAGCTTGGCCACGACCTGCTAATCCCCATCCATCGCCGCCATCGACGCTTCAAAAGTCATCCTTGTCATCCTAAACGGACCGTCACGACCACTCCGCCGAGAGCACCGTGGCCGTGCAAAAGAAGCCGAGCCACCCCGTCTCCCCAGCCTCCCCAGAAAGGCAAGAGCACTTTGTCGATCGCGGTCGACCGCCTCCTTGGCCCTTCTCCAGCACGGGAAGATCTCCTGACTTTTCAGCTTCCATGCTGAAAGTCTTGTCGCCGTCAAGCAGCCCTTGTTGGACGCCGCCACGCATGGCCCCGGCGAGTGCCGTCTCAGCGGTGAGTCGTGGCCCCGTTTCAAGACACGCAGCCCAGAACCTCTCGTGTTCAGGGCTGGGCACTCCTTCCTTCACCGCAAGAAGGGTCGAATCAATCATCCTGACTTGGCCAATCGCCCCCCTGCATTCCAGACAGCGAGATTCTTGAGGACCTGCATGATGGTGACGGCAGACGAGCAGCCCTTAGGGGTGACTCGAGGTGCCGCCCTCACCCAGGCTTGTCGCGAGCCAGTGCGCGCACTGCGCTGCCTGTCCAAAGCACACGCAGTGCGCGTACGCGCCGCACAGTCTCGCACTGCTACGCATGTGATTCATGGTCGGCTGGCTCTGGTCTGGGAGTTCACCTTTGAGATTTTCATCCAGTTGGCGCCGCCGCTGCATTTCGACCCCCTCGCATGCACTGAGCCTCACTGCATCGTTGAGTTTCTCTCTTGAGCATCGCATTGCACCAAAAAACCGCTAGATTTCCCTAGCCTCTTGCTTTGTGGCTGCATCGGCTTCTTTTCTCGTTTCGCACAGCTATTCAGTAACCGCCTGTTCAGGTTTATGCTTCGGCTTTTCGATGGTTTATTTGCGTTGGGCATCGCACTGCCCGCGCCTCGCAACAGCACGCTGCTTTACAATCTGAGAAGCCTCCTTCTCAGGCTTGCTGCCTCGCAACGCTTCTTTGTACAGGCACGCCACTCAGGGTAGCCTCTACCCTCATTTTTTCGCCTTTTCTTCGGCGCTTCGCCCCGCTGCGCCCAAGTTTACAACTCGTGCAACGCGCTGCACCGGCCGGGCCCCCCAGGCCCTCTTAAGCTGCTGCATCGCATTTTTTTGCTCAGGTCACTCGCGAAGTTGACCGCGGCAAGGAGCTTACTGCGTTCCTCGCCTCGGCTTGCCTAGCCGCCCCTTAAACCCTAACTCGACCCCCTTGCTTGTCAGGTCCCATCAACGTCTTTAATTGTCGCCTTCGACTTCGACAACAGGACTCCTTCGGTGCATAGCTGAAGCACTGCATTGTTGCTGCACCTGCCGCCTTTACGGTATCGTATTGCACTGCACGTTTCTTCTGCAGCCTCGCTGTCTTAGCACACTGATCTGCTTCCTTTCGCATCGCACCGCCTCGCCCTGCATCGCACTGCAGAGCAATGGCCACAAGCACAGCCTTGAAAGCCTTTTTGCAGGCTCCGCGTGAGCAAAGGGTGTCTTCATTGCGCAGCCTTGGAGCAGAGAAGATGACACAGCTCGAAAGTGAGCTCCGCAAAGCCAGGCTTACATTGTTCGAAAAGCAAAGCATCGCCCCCCCCCGTGGACACCGTCCCTCCCCCCAAGCAATGCCCCGCCCAGCCCCCTCCCCCCAAGGAGGAGCCAATTCCTGCACCGCCCAAGGACCCCCCCACCCCCCGGAACCCACCCCTGCGCGATGGCACACCGCATCGCGAACGCCAAGCCGCGCGCGGCTCTGCTGACCCTGCACCGCACCGCCCCTGCAAGCCGGGCCACTGGCGCAACAAGCAGGGAAAGGGCCGCCCGTGGGCCGATGTGTCGGACGGCGACGAGTGGGATGATATTCCCTCGTCTGGCGCCGCGCCCAGCTCTGCACCGCACCCAGCACCGCACCCAGCACCGCACCCCGCACCGCAGCCCGCCAGTATGGACGTGGGCTGGGCAGCGTATTACGCCTATCAAAAAGGTGTGGAGAAAGGCAAGGCACAGCACCCAGCATACGCACAGCCCTGGTCCCCACCT